GGCGAAGCTGGCAACCGCTCCCCCATGCGCCTTGCATCCAATCTCGGCCCCCATTGAAACTTTTGTAGTCCCATTCACACTGTCATTTCCTATACCTAGCTACATTAAATCTAGATAATGCTGCACATCCGTTGAAACTATGTACCAAAGTTTTTTTTAATTTCTTGTAAGTATCAATTTTTATATTTGAACGCAGTATCGAGTTCATGTTTTTACTTAATATTCATTGCTTAATGTTTGTAATATTCGTTCTACAATCTTCTATTAGGTCGCAAATTAAATACCAAAATGTTATTAATTTAGTTATCAGTTTATATTAAACTTCGAATAACCTCCGTGGCCGAGTGGTACATACCACGTCGGGTTTCAAGATGTCGCCTACTGGAGAGGTCCCGGATTCAACCCCGGTGGGGGCAGGTGTATGTGTGATGAATACGAGCATTTGTACTACAGTCATGGATGTCTAATATGTATTCCTATATAACTATACTTTCATAATTATGTATCATTATAATATTATAGTATACATATTATGTATTCTATCCGTTACCTTAGTATCCTATAACACAAGCCTACAGTGCTTACTTTGGGGCTAGGCTCTATCGGAAGGCTATGTCGGAAATATTTATTATTTTATTATTTATAATAAAATGGCTAAATACGTTGCTTAGAATATTTTCTTACAATTTTTCAGTATCGTTATCCTTATTGTGCTTATGAGAACTCACTTTTCTCTCTCTTCATCACTTTTGCTACACTCGACCATTAAAATTTGCTCTGCAAATTCCCAGAAATTTGAGGCGTACATGCTTCTCGAATTTCTCAGAATTTAGTAAAGAAAGATTACTGCGCTGCCAAGCTATCTAACCCTTGTCCGTTCTTAATGATAAGGTTTATTAAAACAGTAGAAAAGAAACATTTTGTTTTGGCGATATCCAGGCACTGACGTAATTGAAGAATTGGCTTGTCTATAAACCCTCTACAAAGTATTAGAAAACTTAAAAAATAAATATGGATAAAATCGGTAAAGTCGTTTTCAATCAAATTATGGCGTGACCAAGGGGGAATAGGAATTAATTTTTATATAAAGAAGATTAACCTGCCATCCCATTTTAATATTTAACACTAGAATATAAATCTAGAATAATAGAGGTGAAGTAAATCTGAATTTCCTTTGTAGTTTTTCTTTGCTGTATATATCACAGCGGTATTAGATACTTACATATAAAGTTACTCGACAGAAAGTGTTTGATCATTCTATTTTACGTGTGGCATAATAGCGAAAACCTTTGGAGAGATAGCCAATAACAGTAGAACTCTTAAAACTAAACGGGCTTATTTGACCTTGTTACTGTCAAGGATATCCATACAAACGCTTCCTGCGTTTCTCTGACGCGAGTGTATTGCAATCATATTACGGACCAAGGAACGTACGCGTCTGCACGAATTCTATATTTATAAATTAATTTGTTTATACATAGTGGTAATACAGTGAACAGCACTATGCTGAGGATTGCTTAACCATCGTTAACATTCAAAGGCGTGGGTTGGTCATTACGATAGAGACTAGTTAAGGTTGAAACAGACAAGAACAGAGTTGTTTGATATATTATAACTGCACAAGTGAAATGCCATGAAGTTTCGAAAGACCATGGCGAATGGAACTGCATTTGTGCTAAAAGGACATGCAGACACTAATGGTTCCACATACGGACAGGGCGACAGATATACTGCGGCACCAAACGAGTAAGTTAAATTTATGTTTCCATTGCGTTAATTTAGTTTTATGACGTATTGGAAACTGCCGAGGTAATTTGTTTGGTATTGAGTAGGTTAAAATGATCAAAATTAGGAAGGTCGCGGGGCGTTAGAATAATGTATATTATCAGGATGTTGCGTGTGCGAGTCTGGCTCTCACACGCACAAGAAGGGTTCCGTGCCTACCACTACCACCGTGAAAGTTTATTTATTACTTAGTTTACAATTTTTTAATACTTATAACAACATTTTATGGAATTGCATTGAACAGTTCTTTTAGGTACATACTTGACTGAATAAAGTTGTTAGTTGTGTAAAAGGGCTAATTTAATATAAATGAACCATATAAAAATGTCCATCCTTCCATACCAATATTATAAATGCTAAAGTATGTCTCTCTGTCTGTTACCTCTTCCCGCTTAATACGCTGAACCGATTCAGATGAAATTTGGTACTTATATGTAGAGAAGGTAGAGATAGATCGAACCCCAGGAAAGGACGTTGCATGCTTATCTATTTATCTGAAAAATCATGCTTTAGGAGGGTGAAATGGGGGGTGAAAGTTTATTTATAAGTTTGCTATTTCCGCTTTTTGATGAGCAACTATAACGGAACCTTAATTGCGCATGACTCGGCAGTCCCGAACACTCGACACCAGACACGCCATTGGCCGGTTTATAGGATACTAGTAAACCTCCCCGTTTTTGCCGTGTCGGAATTTATTTTAACGCGATAAAATAATATAACCTTTGTCACGCAGCACTCGGGAATAAAGTAGCTTTTTAAGGGTGAAAGGATTTTTGAAGTCAGTCTAGTACTGTTTTGAGTTCATTCGTTACAAACACACAATCTTTCCTCATTATAATAATAGTACAGATGAGTGCGCAATCCCATGCAGGTTCTAAATCTAAGGTCGCCCCTAATCACTGGTTGGCAAGGTAGAACACGTTTTATTTCTTAATTATTATAGATAGGTAGTTCATGACATGACTATCATATAAGTATATTCACACTGTTGGCACATTGCTGGAATTTGTAAACTCGCCAGTTTCACACTTCTGGAGAGTGATCGGCCATGTAATGTCACCCACCCTGTTCATTATTAATCTGAACATGACATCTATTGGCGCCAATGTTTAAATCTGGATTAGTATTCACCTGATGTGTCTCAATGTCATTTATATTTAACCACATAGTGTATGCAATTTTCGATTCCATTCGATTTACTTGGCTTATTTTCTCTTCAGCGGTACTGTTTGGGGTTTGTACTGTGAAGAAACCTTTGTACTATTTCTAAAGCATGACTACCTAATATCTGACAAGATTGATCACTAGGTGCAGTTAAATACGTCGAACGTCAAGTTGCTTTGTACTGTCAGCGGAGGCTTAAGGGTTTAGTAACAGAGTTCCGTTGTCTGTTACCCTTTAGATACGGAACCCTAATGAAAACAAAAAGCCACTAAGTGTTATTTCATTTCTCTACAAACTGGTGGTAACTTTTTCTTATTTGAGTGGCAAATCCCCTATGCCCTGAATTTATTTAATTTGCATGCCATAAAACAACAAGATTATCTAATTCTCCCTTGCAATATTGTGATATTTAGCAATGCAATGCTCTCTTTTATCTTTCACTAGAACAGTGCCTGGTGTCGGCTTACCGCGGTGCAAATTAACACATGAACAATTCTAATTTAAATACATAATCTATTTTCAAATTCTCTTGTAGTTTCTGACGGATTTACCTAATTTGTTTCCATATTAACCTTTACCTTTATCAACAACTGTAACAAAAAACCGGTCAAGTCTGACACGACTTCGCATCTTTAGGGTTACGCTCCAAGTGTAGAATTTTCAAATACAACATCTGATTTATCGATATATTGGTAGTTGTAAGTAACATAAAGGTAATAATGAATCTTATCACCAAATTAAAAGTCCATAGGTCAAATGAAAGAAAATGAAAGCAAGTGTATTAAAAAGAAATTGCCGTTCTCTCTGTAATAAAATAGTATACTTATAGAAAGCTGGTATTAATATAGGTATCAAATTCCGTGCGCAGTTCTCCGTGGAAGTGTTCCATTCCGTAGATCGTCTGTTATCGTTAACATTGTCACGGGTTGACGCAACTGTTATCTACGGCATACGGCAAGCTGTCGGCATGGCGTGTTCAAACTTAAGAGTTAATTACAACCAATTTTAGCCCATTTAAACTGCCAAGCGCTGAACTATTAACCGTCAAATAGGGCAAGCAATCAAAGATCCTGAACTTTACTCAGCAGAGTTCAGACGTGGTAATTGCTTTTGTTATTGCTGAAACTACCATGATATTGTACCATGTACGTAACGAACAATATATTTTGCATCCTGTGAGGCACACTTGATCAAACATATAACTAAGAAATTACAAAGTAGGAATACTAGATCTTTTTGGCACTAGCGAGGCTTCGGCAAGGCGTATGTCTCATATGTTTTATGAAGAATGCTTTTCTCGACAGATTTCTTTTCTTGTCAAAAATTCCTAACTATCTAATGTATTCTGAAATTGGAACGAGTATTGTAGTTTTATCTTCTGTTTTAAATAGCTGTTGGTCATCCTAATAATTAATACATTACATATATGGATTATAATTCTTTAGAAATTTCAATTATTAAATCCAGGATAATTACACAGGCCCACAAAAAAAAACCCTGCGCAACCCCGAAAACATAAAGTTCAGGTAGTCTGGTCTTTCGCGCAGGGTACTTTTTTTTGTGGGCCTGTGTTATGATCTCTATACATTTTGTGTACTAATCCGACAATGCTAACGACCTCCGTGGCGCGAGTGGTTGTACGCCGGCTTTCAAGGTGTTGCCAACTCAGTGATTGTTGTGGATGTTAAGATGATAGCAAAACAATAAAAGATATGCGAATTAATGAAGTTAAATTCTATCTTATAAATAAAGAATGACTAAATATTGATGTCTTTGTCTTTACAAAGATGATGGTTATTCGAATAGATTTACTAATTAATTTTACAAAACTTGACTATTGTAATTTATTTATTGCAAATAAATTTCTAGCCGTGCTAATTTTACGTATTAGTGTTTAATATTGGTTAGTTAAGTCGGAATATTATTTTGCCCAGGTATTTGATACGTTACCGTCTTGTTTTTTACGTTTCTAGCGAGCTGGAATAACTGTATGATAATCTAATACTTATCCAAGAATACATTGCCGACGACACATTTCTTTTTTGTTCCAGAATATTCGTAAACAGGTCGCTACATTTAGAAAATGTTAAATTTTACGGATTTGATATGGACTACACATTGGCTGGTAAGTTTTTGATATTTTAGCGGCTGCCCGCGACGTCTTCCGCAATAACTTCAGTTTTTTGAGAATCCCTTATCAACCTTACATTTTTCCGGAATAAAAATTATCCTATGTCTCAATCCAGATAATCACACTAATATTATAAAGGCGAAAGTTTGTGAGTATGTGAGTGTGTATGTTTGTTACTTCTTCACGTCTAAACGGCTGGAGCGATTTTAATAAAATTTGGTATGGAGTTAGCTGACACCCTAGATTAACACATAGGCTACTTTTATCACGAAAAAAATTTAGGTTCCAGAGGTATTTTCAAGAAACTAAGTTAACGCAGACGAAGTCGCGGGCGACCTCTAGTAAACTATATGTGTGTTAAATTTCATCCAAATCCGTTTTGCCGGTTTTGCTTGATTGAGTAGAAAACATAAAAACACAAACTTACAAATCACATTTATAATATCAGAAGGATAATAAGTTGGATTCTCATTCATATTGCTGAAAAATATTGTGATGTGTATGGTCATAAACTGGATGGTTATATTTTATGCTTACAGAATATAAATCGCCACAATACGAAACTTTAGGATTCAATTTAACCAAAGAAAGATTAGTGTTTATGGGATATCCTCGTGAAATATTAGAATTTGAGTATGATCCTTCCTTTCCAGTGAGGTACGTAGCTTATAACTTTATTTTTTTAACTAAGAATATTAAAAACCTATAAATAAACAAGAAAGAAGCTTAGAGTAGTTAAGCCGTATTTTGTTCATGTCACTCAAATTCCAATTGTCATTCAATAGACAGAGACAAAACATGGAGTAACTAATCCAAGCGTAGTCTTCGGACATAGATTTTTAATATCGTTGTTTTATACATAAAAATAACAAGTGCGTTAAATGCAAATACTTAACAGTTGCTAATTATTTTTCATGTTTGATTAAACATGGTGCTGACGGTTTATTTGCGACATTTCATTTGATTGAAGTCTCCAAAGTCTAGCTGTGTTGGAGAGTTATTTAGTATGAAAACGAGTGAAGTTTTGTTTTTGTTTTCAGAGGGCTGTGGTTCGACACATTATACGGTAACTTATTGAAAGTTGACGCTTATGGTAACATTTTAGTATGCGTGCATGGATTTGAATTTCTGAAACAGTGAGTGATAATAATAAGTGTAAAATGATGTTATGATTTATCAATTACTATGCTTATCCCATTAATCTGTTGATGGACGTGCTTCTAATTGGTTTCAGTTCACAAGTATACGAATTGTATCCGAATAAATTTTTGACATTAGACGAGTCCAGAGTTTATGTGCTGAATACGTTGTTTAACCTGCCTGAAACTTATTTAATTGCGTGCCTGATAGACTTCTTCACAAACTCGCCCCAATACACGAGGTAAGCTTCTCAGTTACATACCTAATTATGTTTTATTACTTATACTAACTGTTACTGGAAATTATTTATGGCGCGTGTTACTTGCGTAATTAGTTCTTGTACACCAGATGACTTGATAGAAGAAAATAACGTTATAATTTTTATTATTTTTAAAGCATGTAACTGCTTGATGTTTAAATCTAAAGAAAATATAACTAGAAAAAATTCCACGCGGACCAGGCAGCAGACGGTCTGCTGCCTGGTCCATCAAGCAGTTACATGCTTTAAAAATAATAAAAATTATAACTATAATTGCTATTTCTTCTTTCAAATGTTTAATACTTGTAAAAGTATTCATTTGACATTGTGGGTTTACCTATAATGCGAAGAGATGGCGCTGCCTTGCAGCTTAAGAATAGCTAGAAAGAATTTCGACGCGGTCCGTGAGGGCCGCGGTAGCATAATTGGTCAGTGCATTCGCCCGGATTGCGAAGGGTGCGGGTTCGAGTCCCGTCTGCTGCCTGGTCCGCGTGGAATTTTTTCTAGTTATATTTTCTTTAGATTTAAACATCAAGCAGTTACATGCTTTAAAAATAATAAAAATTATAACTATAATTGCTATTTCTTCTTTCAAATGTTTAATACTTGTAAAAGTATTCATTTGACATTGTGGGTTTACCTATAATGCGAAGAGATGGCGCTGCCTTGCAGCTTAAGAATAGCTAGAAAGAATTTCGACGCGGTCCGTGAGGGCCGCGGTAGCATAATTGGACAGTGCATTCGCCCGGATTGCGAAGGGTGCGTGTTCGAGTCCCGTCTGCTGCCTGGTCCGCGTGGAATTTTTTCTAGTTATATTTTCTTTAGATTTAAACATCAAGCAGTTACATGCTTTAAAAATAATAAAAAATATAACTATAATTGCTATTTCTTCTTTCAAATGTTTAATACTTGTAAAAGTATTCATTTGACATTGTGGGTTTACCTATAATGCGAAGAGATGGCGCTGCCTTGCAGCTTAAGAATAGCTAGAAAGAATTTCGACGCGGTCTGTGAGGGCCGCGGTAGCATAATTGGTCAGTGCATTCGCCCGGATTGCGAAGGGTGCGGGTTCGAGTCCCGTCTGCTGCCTGGTCCGCGTGGAATTTTTTCAAGTTATATTTTCTTTAGATTTAAACATCAAGCAGTTACATGCTTTAAAAATAATAAAAATTATAACTATAATTGCTATTTCTTCTTTCAAATGTTTAATACTTGTAAAAGTATTCATTTGACATTGTGGGTTTACCTATAATGCGAAGAGATGGCGCTGCCTTGCAGCTTAAGAATAGCTAGAAAGAATTTCGACGCGGTCCGTGAGGGCCGCGGTAGCATAATTGGTCAGTGCATTCGCCCGGATTGCGAAGGGTGCGGGTTCGAGTCCCGTCTGCTGCCTGGTCCGCGTGGAATTTTTTCTAGTTTTATTTTCTTTAGATTTAAACATCAAGCAGTTACATGCTTTAAAAATAATAAAAATTATAACTATAATTGCTATTTCTTCTTTCAAATGTTTAATACTTGTAAAAGTATTCATTTGACATTGTGGGTTTACCTATAATGCGAAGAGATGGCGCTGCCTTGCAGCTTAAGAATAGCTAGAAAGAATTTCGACGCGGTCCGTGAGGGCCGCGGTAGCATAATTGGTCAGTGCATTCGCCCGGATTGCGAAGGGTGCGGGTTCGAGTTCCGTCTGCTGCCTGGTCCGCGTGGAATTTTTTCTAGTTATATTTTCTTTAGAGAAAATAACGTTTTTATACAAGCTTCAGTCGTGGGTAGGTCTGGCAGAGCTGATATCAATATTCAATTCAATATATTTATTGTTTCATGTGGTAATTACAAGTTCTTAAGATTTAGTTTCAGATCCAAACATGAACCCTGTAAGGGCACTATAATATCAATATACAAAAAAAAATAAAATAAAATACACATAATTATAATCAAACACAGTAAAATTTTAGATTACAAGTACGCTACCTTACATCAAAAAACACTTGCATACTGTAGAAGGTTTTATTCAATAAATATTGTTAATAGTAATAAGCGAAGTCCAGCTGCGATGATAGCTGACAGCGGCAAAAACGTCTCTCCAGCCATCCTGACGTTCTAAGTTGATTCCGTGGAACCCTAGAACCTTACCACCAGAAACACATCACTTGCAAAGACTTATTTTACTGATATATTTCATAGATAGAGGTGGATAATCTTTTTATATGCTAATAGTGATCAACAAAGTTTCCAAAGCAATAAAGTTAATATTGTTTATAATGTTTTAAAAATATTTTCATAACATATCAAATTCTTTCACTTTGGCTTTCTGCCACATCGAGAATTGGGTATTGACATTAACTCATACTATTATTTTTTCGTCAGACTCACATCACGGAATATTCGAACGCTGCAAATACTTATGCCTCGAAACAGTGTCACTTTCAAGCCCTTGTCGGATTAATTCTAGTACTTGTCTTTCGAATATATATTAATCTTTTAGTTTATTTAGTTTCTACGTTTCTAGTTCTAAAATACGCAATAAAATTATTTACGCTGTTGCTATTTTTGCTTCGACTAAACAAATATGTTCATCATGTTCTTTTTATTGTTTCTTAAATTTCTTTATCTCTACTTAATTTAGCATTGCGAAGATGATACAACTTAGGTTCAATGAAACATTATAAAGTAGTTTCTTTATAAGTCATTATTATGTACTAACGCCATGCAAACGCAATAGTTGAATTAAAATGAGTAGCGTTTACAGTTCATGCATAGTATGGCAGGTCTTACTAATATTTCTAATCACTTGCTTTGATAAGATCGTATAAAAACTTTCTAGTTTATATTTATAGAACTAAGGGCCTGCGCTGCCATATGCGACGCGAGATTCGCCTCACGCAGCGTTGCGCTATTAAATAATATGAAAAAAACACGCGGAGCGGACGTCCGCTCCGTGCTGCCGCTTAAGGCAGCGCACGCCCTAAGTTTGATGCTATATTTATAATCCCTTTCTAGAGGAAAGACAGGTGTAAGATGTGGCGATTTAGCAATGTCATTCAAATCAATCTTCCAAGACGTAAGAAGCGCGGTGGACTACGTTCATATCCACGGAGACCTCAAACAAAAAACTATAGAGAATCTCGATATGTACCTGAAAAAGGATGAGAGGCTGCCAATGTTCCTCTCCAGGATAACAGAGAGTGGAGCTAAACTGTTCATATTGACAAACAGTGACTATAATTTCACAGACAAAATCATGAACTACCTTTTCGATTTCCCTCATGGCGCAAAGGTATGTTGATATTATTTCATGTGTTATTATTATCGAGCAGTTTTAAATTTTTTCTGTGCTATTGTATAGAATAAGATAAGTAGGTAATTTATATAATTTTGTGTAACCGAATAATTGTATCTACTAATGTTGTATAAAGTTATTTGAGAGACAGACTGCTTCTCGCAATAATTTATCTTAACAACAGTCGTTTCTTAAAACTTCGAGTGCACTATTAATTTAAATTAACAGTTTTTCTCAAATGACCTACTTCTGGATTATCATTGCTCACGCTACCCGAAAATAGATATTAATAGTTCTTCAAAGTTAAATTAATTAGCAATATTATTGTCAGACTGGCGAGCCCCATAGAAACTGGAAGACTTATTTCGACTGGATTGTCGTAGACGCCAAGAAGCCACTGTTCTTCGGCGAGGGGACCACACTGAGACAAGTGGACACTCGCACTGGGGCACTCAAAATGGGCCACCATGTCGGACCGTTACACGAAGGACTTATCTACTCGGGAGGTTTGTATGGACCTTATTAACATTAGAATAAAGTCCGGTTTCACTTTTGTTTTTGTTTTATATTATAAGTCGATACACGCTCACAAAACCATGTCAAGTTAAACTGTTTTCTAAAGCGGGCTTTTGCTAATTAGCTTCCATGCGGACCAATGCAATTGGGTTATTATTAATAATGGAAGAAATATTCTGAATGTGAAGTATTCTAATTTCTTGGGTTTGGGTCTTCTGAAGCTACCCGAATCGTTATTTAACCTTTTTGGAATAAAAAGAAATAGATTACCTATTGGCATATACACATAGCCTTGACTGCGTTTGCGCAAGCTGTAAGTATATTTTAAAAATAACCGTTGCGCTCTAAGAATTATCATCATTTATCGCTCAAACAAAAGTGCTTTTGTTTGCTTTGTCCAGTATGTGTAATCTTTCGCAATCTGATTGTTCATGACTTTATACATCTTTATGGTTCATCTTAGTTAAATGATAGGGTTTTGTACGTTCGATTTTACGACACAAAGGTATTAATTACTAAGCACCCAAAATTAAATATGTCTGCTAATAGGGAATTATGTACTTAAATACCATAATCAGTTTTGCTAGGGATTAGTCAAAAGACAGATATTTCATTTTGCTTTGCCTGTTCATTATTAATGGATCTGGGGCTGCAGCATATTACCATACGACCACATTCACAATAAAGTGTTGAAAATATTCATAGACAACATAAACCTGGAATTCTAAGTCAAGATAAAATGTCGGTCGGTAATTATTATTTAATCAATTGAACCGGTGATATCTCAATGTTAGTAAAATTATTGAATGTGCCGTGCATTTAAAAATAGCACTTATGACCTTGCATTATGTATCATATTCTTTTATTTAATAATGATTAACTTAATGAAAAAAATTTTTTTTGAGAAAAATACTTATGTAGTTTTTTATCGAAATCGAATCAGAAGACAATCCCAAATTCCCAACCTAACTACTTTCAGGCTGTGAGTTATTTCTGTTACACGTTAGACATATATGTAATGATATAAATTTATAGAGTTATTTTATATAAATAAAACTTGTGTTTGAACTACAGATAACAGCATGCCGTGTCATAAGATCATTTTCTTATTTAATCATTTAGTCATTAGTATTCAAGTTAAGAAAATATTAAAACCTAAACCGAATGGAATATATTTTAGTAAAATTTATTTAGATTTAAAAATATAACAGTGAAATGTTAAAAAGTAAAAATATAATATTCAAGTATTAAAACAAATTGATATTGCAACTAACGAACGCGCGCTAAAGTTGCTGTGCCTTGTCTTATAAGTTATATTTTTTGGGGGACTCTCGCGTACTTTCGTACTGTCCGATCTCTCAGTGTCCTCGGTTGCTCGGAGGACATTTTGTACGCGGGATTTTAATACCTGTGTGCGTTACTTGATGCAGTCGTAAGCTATCTATTTCGGCGGACCTACAATACCGCGGGCAAAAGTCCCCGTCTGCGCAGGCTACTCTGCTGCACGTAGGTATAAATCAAAAAAATAATTATAAAGCCAATCTGATAATAGGTATTTTTTATTAATAACACGGTTAAGGTTAATCGTGACCTATTTCTAAGTTAACTTTGTATTAAAAGATACTTACTTACCTAGTTTAATCGTGCCGATATTTGAATTAACTATAGTCCTGCAACGCCAGTATAGATCCATCCTTTTTTATCCTATCCTCTACCCCGTTTTCTAAAGAAATGTGATAAAGTGCCATCAAATAATTATGACTTTGTTGGAAAATAATCATAATAAAACATCAAGTTAAAAAATATCGCTATTTAGTTACTAAGGTACTACAAAAAAAAAGATGTCTACATTTTTGTTATTTTTCAATTATACGCGTAATTTGAATTAAAGTAAAATTAGTGGGACTTCTGTTGTCGTAGCGAACGGATCACTTGCTTTCGCTCGGCATTTAATACATATTTCACACTATATTGGTCTCGACTCGCGATCGCGTGCCATTGTGCCATTGGTTCACTATCCATGTCTCCTACTACACCTACTATTTCTAAACGTCAATTTTTGATCAAACTTCTGTTGGAAGACAATAGTGACAAATGCTAAAACTAACCTATTCATTGCTAGATTTTACTTATAGCATTAACAAAAAGGTTAGTCGGGTGTTCAAAACGAGTTTTAAAAGAACAACAGGAATTATCATTTGCATGCATACATTTTAAACGTTGAGTTTTAAACGTCCAACTTTTTAACCTTCGAATCTGCTATTTCCCATCGCTCCAAGTATAACATTTGCTCTAAAATTTCGGATTCCATACTTATTTTTTCATATTTTTTCAGTACCCTAAGCATGAGCAACTAGCGAGGAAAAATTCGTATCGTCATGTCAAAGTTTCTATGGAAACTAAGCAGTACCCCTAATACGAACCAATATCAAATTCGTGCAGTTTGCGAGTACGAAATGTCAAAGTCAAATATTTTATGGAAACTCGAACAGCAGCGCCACAACGGACGTAAAGAGAACTAAAATCAGTACATATTTGACGTATACCTAGATCGAATTCAACTATTCGAATTCTAAATGGTTCGTGCTAAGGGTACCAAAAAACTAGCTCTTAAACTTTGATGATAGCTATACGAATACTTTCTCGCTAGTTGTTCATGATTGGGACACAGATCGAAGTTTTTGTTTAAGCCAAGAAGCTTAATTTTACCATGTTATTGATATTTTTTCTTACAGGGTCCTGTGACGTCTTCACAGAGCTGATTGGTGCCAAAGGCAAAGATGTGCTATATATAGGAGATCACATATTCGGTGACATTCTCAAGTCGAAAAAAATCGGAGGATGGAGGACGTTCCTCATTGTACCAGAGTTGGTGCAAGAGTTGCACGTCTGGACAGACAAGTGTCAACTGTTTGCACAATTGCAAAACCTTGATATACAACTCGGGGATATGTACAAGTGAGTTTCTTACCTTTAATATTTAAGCCCGTTTCCACCGCCAATGGGGAATAAACTAGGGATGTCTAGCGGAGCGGTGTTCGTGTACATAAAATAGGATTGCTTTTCCACAAAGAAAGAGTTCCGAACTGGTTCATTTTTACTCTTCTTGCCCTCTTTGTCACTTTCGCTCAACTCTTTGTTGTTGGAAACAGATGTATGCATTTTTGTATTGCGAGGTAAACGGGGTTATTAATGGGCTCGCTTCACTCGCGGTGGAAAACCCCCTTAAGGGGATAGTATTGATGCATGGGATAAATGTATTATTTTGTCGGAAAGTCTCATTAATTTCATCAGAATTTCAAAAACTTGCTTAGCCTTTTTTATGATGTAGGTAGAAAGATACACAGAACACTTTTATTTTATTTGTAAAGGTACATTAAACAGCCAAAGACCAGCAAAAATGTACACAGCTGAATAACATAAGTAAACCTTATTTACTAAAAAGAAAACATATAAAGAAAAAAAACATTGATGAAATAGTCTTCAATCTTAGGTAATGAAACAAAGCGGGCGAAAGGAATGAAAACTTGATATTACCCGAGAAAAATCACTAATTGGGTAGGAGTCTAAAAAACATTCATGTATCTGCAATCAACCAAATGAATAAAAACATGCATAAAATAAACAATAAATATGTATATGTATATATATTTAAAAATAACAAGGGTATTTGTTATATATTTATTTGGGGACGGGGGGGTAAAGTGTCAACCTCAAATCATTTTTAAATTTCTGTTTTGATCCAAAAAATATATCTATGCCTTTAAATTTTGAATTGTATAAGTGTGACACGCGCGTTAGGATAGAATGGTTCCCATATATTGTACGGTGCAATGGTACATGAAAAAGTGAAGTGTGACGAGTACGATAATTAGGCACAGATAGCGAGAGGCCCGCAAGCAGCTCAGGGCAATCAAGGTGGCCACGTATCAGATCCCACAGCAGCCCCATATCCAAAATCAGGCGTCGATCCTCAAGAGTCAAGAGCAAAAAGTTGCGACAACTGTCAACATAGGTAGTATCAGGAATTTTGAATTTATAATTAAGATGTCGTATAAATCTCTTTTGGACACGTTCTATTTGATTCATATAGGTCTCATATTGTGGATACCAGATAGGACTAGCATATTCCAATATGCTCCGTACATAAGCGTAGTACACGACCTTAATGGTGGTCAACGAGCTGTAAGGACGACAAGTGCGCAAAAGAAATCCCAAATTCCGATAAGCCTTATTCGTGATCATGTCAACTTGTCGGTGATATACTGATAAGTAATAACCGTGAAATAAAACTTTAAAGAAAACAACTTTAACCGAATGACAGTTCATACAAGTGTTTGAATAAATCGTAAAAGTGGGCTAACAACATTGATATGTAAATTATTAACCTATTTGGATGCAATTCATGACACGAGTCTCATTATTATTCTCTTTTGTTTCACTAATTTTAATGATAATTAGATTCTGCGTCCGCAGCGCTCAGAGACATCAAATAATCTTGAAGTTTGACTATAGTTGATACTTTTGTAGATTTAATTTGATTGCCCTCCGTATGTGGGCCTTTAGTAATACTTATTAAACTTTATAACTATTCTATTTCGAAACTGTGAGAGATGTGAGATCGTTATCATTATGTCCTTGATGTCAGACGAGATGACGTCTGGTGAGACTAATAGGTAGGTATGGAATATTACAAACATATTATAATTAATGTAGAGAATGTGATATACATTCTCTTTATATGAGTATCACGCTAGTGGTGTTAGGAATATTTTAAATAATATAATATACATTTTTGGTAGGTAATTTAAACAATAATATTATCATTCTAGTGTATGTAGCTTAATTATAGACAACTTTGGTTGTAGCTTTAATAATGGAGACAGCAACAGGCAGAGTTATCCAAAATTGACAAATTCTTTAAACTGTCTCTAAGCTTTATCCCGCCTGATATAAGACTCGCAATCAATAACTTGGTAAGTTGATGTTAATTTGGATGTACATGTTAAAGGGTATTCAAGGAACTTATTTTGGAATCTATCTTAAACGATTGCCAGCCCACCACTGGTAGCCTATCAATATAATGTACTAATGAACAAAAAAAAAATAGGTCACCTACCAAATTGTTTGTCATGTCGTGACTGTAGGTATTTAAAATTTAGAACTTCTAATTTTTTTATTATATTGATCTAATTTCGAGTAACCATAATTATGGTCTACTGGGGATAGGTTATTATATAATGGGATTATAACTATGGCGGTTGTGAAATGAGCAGAGAACTAGACGCAGTTTCAGTACAATGACATTTCGCTCGCACTTACATCACCGTACATTTCGTTTACTGCGTTGCAACTTGCTCTAACTTAAACATCGCCATACATAAATCTGAAAAAAATTACAAGACAAATAACCAAACGATACTCCATAATTTATAGTTTTTTATGTTTATTGGATTTTTAGTTTTTTTTAATGCAATTTGTCTTTTTTATTGTATAATTTTCGTAAATATTCTAGCAAGTAGCTTTGCTATTCCCTCTCTGTAGTATCAGACGGGATTCGAACTTGTGACCAGGACCGAAAGGATTGTTAAAAAAATCCTTAGATTTTTAAACCTAACTGTTATAGCCTAAAATAACAATAAGCCACAGTCATCTCTGAGTTTGAATCCCCAGATAAATGATTAGTCCCGTTTCGTTCAACTAGATACGGCGCTGTCTAAAAATAACAGCTCCGTAAATGCGGCAACTCATTACTGTAGTGTGTATACTGTATATGTCAATTTGCAAGGATGCTATTGTGCGTGAAGAATCGTGTAGCCAGCTGCTCTGCTGCTACCCAAGTAATAGGAAAATTATTTAATGCTGTGTTCTCTTGGTTATAAATGTAGGTGGTTATAATTAATTATGTTACAAGTTATAAATATAGCTCCGAATATAATTAAAGCAGAACACTGAATTAAATGCGAATCAATATTTTTGTGTACTTATACGGTTTACGCGTAGGTTTCTTCTTCAGAAAAATTGTAAGTGTGTGTGATTAGGTCTCAATTTTAATGGTTTATTTTACATGTAATATTTATAAAATATTATTAAAAATATTCTGAGTATATAAGGTAGATTACAAAGATAAATATCGAATGGTAATAGAAAACTAGGTTAACTTTAATGGCAATTTTAATAGTAAGTTTAAATGACATGGGTACATGGTACATAAAGTACACTAACATTATGAAAATCTCAACCGTAGGGACTTGATTCTTGTATACGCGCCAACACCTGAGTGACGTTTAGGGTTCATATTATTATATGTTGAAATTTTACGATGATTATTAATGGTATATGATCCCAGTTTTCTTATTATTTATTTTACTATTATTTCACTGCCTAAACTCGTGTGTTTCTTGCGATAAGGGCCAAATTTTAATAAAACATTCGGTACGTATACCTCATACATAACTGTCAATATTACGATGAAGGCTCGATTTCGTCGACTTTGGTGTAGTATTTGTTGCCGCATTTGATAAGTACGCCGCGGTGGTATCACTGCAGGGAGACCAATCATTTATCTATGTTTGAATCGTACTGTAACAACGGTGTTTCTTTGACAATCTTACAGAGACCTAGACTCTAGTACCAAGGAGAAGCCAGACATCACCAAACTGCGCATGTCGATCCGTGACGTCACCCACAAGATGGATCTCGCTTACGGCATGCTCGGCTCTCTGTTCCGATCCGGCTCTAGGCAGACTTTCTTCTCTTCCCAGGTATACACACCGGCAAACTTCTTGAGCAACTACTATAGACAAGAAAGCCTGCGCAGTAGCAAATTTACATACAAAAACGTCTACTGCGCAAGTTTATTTGTCTGTGGTTTTGCTTAAAAAATTTATTCACTACCTATAAAAACATAAATAGTGTGGTAAATTCAAGATGATGCCTTTCCATGTGATACATAATAAAGTCTTTCACAAAGTAAATATTTAAATTTTTCTTTTTTGTACGGCTAACGAGAAGCGATACAAAATGTAAACAAAGTCGATGAAAGGTCATTGACCAATACAGCCCCCCTAGCATGAGTAACAAAACGCGATATGATAAAGCGATTTATCGACACTCAACTGTCAAACTCCATAGTAGTTTGACAGTTAATGTCGACAAATCCCTTTATCATATCGCGTTTTGTTAGTCATGCTAGGGGGGCAGGTGTTGGTAATTTTTTTGAAAATGACTATTTATGTTAATTAATATGGGACGCTATCATTTTAATAGGCATTATATATTCAAATAAAATTTAAAAAGCTATAATTTATATTATCAACTTAATATCAACAGAAAATCACAACAGTTCAAAAATAATTGTTATTACCATGAGTAGTATTGGAAAGCCACGAAACGAAATTGAAAAATGTTATTATTTTTTACTATAAAATGGGCGCCCGAATGTTGGCGAACTCGGCGCCTCGGTCTTGTATAAGAGAATGAACTTCTGTATCGCTTCTCGTTGGCCATACATTAATATCAGTATCGCTTTCCCCCTTTTGCTAGGGATTTTGATAGGGATGATAGACTAACTTTTTTTCTTCGTCTATTCTATCAGGTAGACTAGTGAAAACTAGAGATAGTCAAAACATAACAAAGCAATTATTTTATTTAAAATTTCGCATGACGAAAAAATAAGTGTCCAATTTTTTTGATAATCTAATTGAATTTCGTTTACTCTCACCCGTCATTATCCCAGTTGATGTTCTCACTTATCCAAAATTGAAGAATATTATCGTATGCATCGTTATGAAAAACTCAAGATATGTATATCGTTCTGTATCGTCAGGTGGTGAGGTACGCGGACCTGTACGCGGCATCGTTCCTGAACCTGATGTACTACCCGTTCTGCTACATGTTCCGAGCGCCCGCCATGCTTATGCCGCACGAGTCCACGGTCGCGCACGAGCAACGCTTCACCGTTCACACGCCGACCATAGATCGGTAAGCGCCTCGCGTCATGTACTGCCCGCCCTGCTACATGTTCCGCGCGCCCGCCATGCTCATGCCGCACGAGTCCACGGTCGCGCACGAGCAACGCTTCACCGTTCACACGCCGACCATAGATCGGTAAGCGCCTCGCGTCATGTACTGCCCGCCCTGCTACATGTTCCGCGCGCCCGCCATGCTCATGCCGCACGAGTCCACGGTCGCGCACGAGCAACGCTTCACCGTCCACACGCCCACCATAGACCGGTGAGCGCCTCGTGTCATGTACTGCCTGGCCCTAAGGATAGGTCACATGGGACACCCTCTCCAAATCGTATACGTCAAATTGAAAAAAAAAACTTCGATTTGACGTGTACGATTCCGCAATACATTCATCGCAGCAGATTTAAACATCTAGCTAGCAGTTAAATGCTTAAAATAAAAATTAAACTACATTAATCGAAGTTTGCGACGTGATCTCTGCTCTCGTGACATCAGAAAGCAAATTGTAAGTGTTATGCGCCCGTCCAAAATGTCTGCTACATGTTCCCAGCCCCCTTTTTCTTCATCCATAGAAAATGCATGACGCAAATAAGAGTCACCATACCCGAGCGACGGAATTGTGTAGGACCCGACCCCCTCCTCCCAGCCAGGGCAATAGCCAAGGTTGTATTTAAGATAGGGTAGCGATTGATAGTACGAGCGTCTTTTAAAAAACTGGCTCCTCTACTTAAGATCAAATTTTAACAGTAAAATTTTAAGATAATACCCTCCTCTAGTTACGACCCTGATCCCTCTATCCTGCTCATCCACCCTCAAACCCAGCCCCATGCGGCCGGTTAAGGTCGCAAGAAGTTAGAGGTTCGAATTAAAGATTGATTTTTAGAAACAAATCTTTTATTTGCCCGATTTTAATTCGTTGGCCATCACGTCGCGGTAGGTAGGTAGGTAAACAAAATAACACAAGCTTTAATTGAGTCCCTTCTGCAGATATGTAGGAGGTTCCAAACCTCAGGTAGGTCGGTTCCAGCCGACCAATTGCCGTTATCTTATCTAATGCTTGTCAAGGAGGGACGGTCAAGGTCTGGACGGAGATCACTCTGGCATCCTCCTCAGCATTAAAATATACTCATAGCACCCAGCGGGAATTCTTGCTCACAATTTCTTCGCGACGTATTTTTAAATAAATGCCATCAAATAAAAGCAACACCTTTGCACTCCGCGGCTACGCCAATGTGACTACTAAATCCGAATGGCATAATGTCTGCCCAACTGCTCGAGACTCCGCCCCTTCGCTCAAAGAATGAGAACTCGCTATCAACGCATTAACGCATTCCGTTTAACGCACGCGTGTTTATGTATTTAATGTTTTAGATTAAGATTTAGCCTTTGACCACTTTACGTTTTTAATTAAAGAATATATAAGTTACAATGTCCAATACTCTTATATTAATTGTTTATTAAGGACAATATATTAACTTACCACGCCATAGTGAGATTCAAATAAGAATAGGAAACCCAATGACCTCCATCTGTCAAATGTCGCTTGAAAAGTACGGTTTGCAAAAAAATTTGTAAACAAACAATAACAAATATTGATAATTAATATTGTTTGAAAATAAATATAGTGTAAAAAACCTTACCTAGATGGCCACCAGCAGCGGAGCTAGGCCCAATCTACCGGTTGTTTATTGTTATACACCATACAAGACACACAAGTAAATTAAAAACATGATAGACAGAAAAAAATATTAATATTTTTTGTAACGCAATTGTTTCATCTGATATTATTTGTTACAGTTCTCGTCATCCGAGTGCGCAGCGGGCTGTAAGTGTGATTTCCATATCAGAGGACACACTGGAAGTAGACGATACCAACAACGTTGTCGACGGCACCGATGGAAAGGTAACACTCCTCGTACTAATTTGAGTCATCATCATTATCAGACGACGCACATTGTGTTATTTCACCTCAAAATTACCACTCCCTTGATTAAAGGTGAATCAGATAAAGCTCTTCATTCTAAGCGCAAGAGTAAAACTCCCACGATTCTAACTATAATAGTTTCGACGAAATCCCGGTTTTTCTTTTTTTGTACCACATTGTGAAAAAGAAATTAAAAAAAAAAATTGTCTAAACTATTACAGTTATTTTATTTTTTACGGTGTATTTCAAAAGGTATTATTTTTATCCATATTATGAGTCTTCTATGGCTGCCCTAGAGCTTGTAGGAACCGAGAAATCGGCGATTTAGTGATTTTCGTTTTTAATTTTTTGTGCTCATGTTATGCAATATTAAAGCTTATAATTTAGTTCAAAATGTAGCTAATAATGTAGACCATCAACTCAAAAAATAACAAGCTTTAACTCGGTGGTATATCGGAAATATTAAGAATTTAAATTTGTGGGACAATGTCCCACATTTTGAAGACTTAATTTTGAAAACGTAGTTATGCTACTTTTTAAATATTATACTATAATAACTATATAAATGCGTTGTTATTATATTATTTACTATTTATATAAGATTATAAATGTGTTTGGTATGTTTGTTACATAATCATCCACTTTTGTGGGCCAACTTGTTTGGATGAAATGTGGCACACAGGCATTAAGTTCTTCCCTATTAAGTGCAAATAAACAAATAAATCTGTTTAAACATTATCTGCTGTCTTCGTTATGAAGAACAGTTGTGAATTCATTTTCTTCACTTTCTATGTGTACGGGATGTGTGTACGTACAAGAAAAGAAAATGGATTTTTACAGAGATACCGTTTATTGGCACACGAAACTTATTTGACTAATGAAATAGTGTATGGAGTTTATGAGTCGCGGTTGAAACGTAGACTGATGCGTCGCGTTCTAGATTCGACACACTAAAGTAAAAATGCAATGCTGCAAAATATAAAATGTAAAATAAATTATATTGTGCGGTTTATTGAACCGTACATGTTCCGGGGCGCGAGATGAGATGAAAATGTCGGTTTTAGTGTAATGAAGTGGAGACAAGATGATTGAACAATTTGAGTGTTAGTAGGAGTGAAACAAACTGAAACCGACAATCATTCCTGTATAAATCTTATTTTACTAAAAATAGGCGAAGTGCCGTTTGAGTTACGTTTGGTGTCCTGTGCACTACCACTTTCGCTGATACTTTTGTGACACTGCACTTCACTAGTCACTTGCACTTTGCACTGACCACAATTGTCGACCTCACACGGCCCCTTTATTCGGGGCGCTGTCGTCGGGCACGCGGGATGCGCGAAGACGGTGTTCGCTGTCGAAGGTCCGGGCGCAAGCCCAGCGTCCGCTGCGGGTGGCCCAGGCGGCTCTCGCGTTGTGAACGCGGCCTGCCCTGGGGCCTCGTTGATCCTGATTGAAGGGGGGCGGCGCATACGCCACCACACGAATACGGCACATGCTACTGCCACTACCGCTACTGTATAAATAGCGGCGTACTGATGGACGTCATGTGATGATAAGTAGTCCATTTCTTCTAGCCTATCTCCACTAGATTTTAGCTGTGTGACCTGTTCGCCGATGACTTTGAGAGTTTCTTTGTAATCGCTTTCGTTTATCGTAGTCACAGGTATAGTCAGGTTAATGATTTTGTTGACAGGTGCTATTTCGGCTAAAACTATGTCCGGTTCTATATTTAGCTCGTTCATGTGTTGTTTATGTGCGATAATAGTGAAGGTATCGCTCTTGATTATGCAATTATGTCCGAGCGCAATTATATTCGACCCTTTTAATCGTTCGTTAGTAACTCGACTCCCACATATGAATCTCAAGTTGCATTTGTCGCAACAGGTGACTAAGAATTTGTTTACATTGATAAGCTCCGTCCATGTATCACGGCACATATTAATAAATGTCATACATGCCTTGTTTTGTTGGTCTCTAATACAAAAGTTTTCGTCTGAATCTCTATGATATACTGGTTTTTGCAATTCACACAAATAAGTTATTTTGTCAAATTGGATGCATTTGGATAACTCTGTTTCCGATATTGGTAAATAGGTATCTTTTTGTAAATTAATGGCCAAATAATCTGCTATCGGCGAGATATTAATGACCGAGTTTTCCTTTTGCTGAGGAACGGAATAAAGCTTATAAAATTCGTAACTGTCTCTGTTTACCAACGGAATTTCAATCTCGAAAATAAAGTATTGTATTGTCATGCGAGCTTTAACTTTGAGAATCTCATACACCTTTGGTAGGTCAATCAGGATGTTATCAATGGGCAGTGCTGAGTCCTTTGACAGTTGCCCGGAAATAATACTTAATTCTCTTCGAAGTTGTTCTGGAGATAAAATGTGAAAATTAAAATGGTGAGTATTGGTAATTGTATCCAATAGCGTATCTTGTATATGTTTGAGATTACTGATGATGTTGTTTGCGATAATGCTTGTCAAGATAAATTCATCCGTAATATCAATATTTTCTATCTCCTTTTGCAAGCTTCCTGTTGCTTGTTCTAGAATATTGAGGTGTTTTTTAAAAATTTTGTGTTGATCTTCCATCGTATTTTCGATGCGTTGCAATAAATTATTCTCCGCTTCGATGACAGAAGTTTGGTTTTTCCATAGATTCACTAAATATTTTTCATTGTTTCTAATATTTCTTATGTCCTTTTCGTATTTTGATGCGAATTTGTCATCTAACACTCCAAAAAGGCTATTAGCAATGTTACCTACGCCATTGATGAGACCGCGTCGCGTGCGCGTTGGATGTTTATTTTGTAACATGATATTGTAGAACTGTAGTTCCGAGAAACTGTGACGTAGCTGTAACTTTATTGTGTCACAGTGGGATTTCCTTTCAATGTTTTGGCATAATGATTCTAAATGCTGATAGTATGTGTTTAATAATTTTGCTCCATTCCAATAAGGATCCATATTATAATAAACCACCAGTTTCCATTTGTCCTGTATAATGCGTATGTCAGATAATTTGTCCAAATAGATACTGTTATTATTTTGTAATGGTCTAATATCGTATGAATGTTGTGCTGTTGTTGATCCACATAACATAAATAAAAGTAGTAATATTGTCATAAAATTTATGCATGACGTCACAAAGTTACTTTTACTGAATGAGTTGAGTGTGCGTTTTGTCCCAGCAGCAGCATTTTCGTGTATCGACCCTTGACTGCTATCAACGCTGGCCTTATCATTGTTGCTTACGGGCAGTAGTGACACCTTGATTACCGGTCTTTTCAGGACACCGTTTTTTGTTTTGACGCTGATGACGCGAACGTGTCCATCCTTTCCTGGGTGAGCGTCGACTACTCGTCCGAGCGCCCATTTACCTGGGGGTAAATTAGCGTCATGTATCAGGACAATGTCATTTGGCTTGATATTTTCTTGTTTTTGTTGCCATTTCGATCTTGCTGAAAGTTGAGATAAGTATTCAAAACGCCATCTCGCCCATATATCATGAAAAATCTTTTGTGTCAATCTCCAACGAGTTCTGTCATCGTTTTCAGTTTCATATATGGTGAGGATGGGCCCGCTTGCTAAGAAATGGGATGGTGTTAAATAATTGATGTCGTTTGGATCTTCACTAATTGCACAGAGGGGGCGAGTATTGAGACAAGCCTCGAGTTGTGATAATAGAGTGGTATACTCTTCAAACGTCAGTTTTTGCTCGCCCACTACTCTGCGTAAATGGTATTTCAGGCTTTTAACAGCGGCTTCCCATAGGCCTCCTGCGCTCGGCCAAGATGGAGCGTTAAAATGCCAGTCTATTTTCATTTCACTAATTTCGGAAAGGAACTCGTCAGTAATTATTAATTTTAAGTTGGCAAATTCGGATTTCAGCACCTTGTTTGCTCCGACGAAATTCGTCCCGTTATCACTATACATGTGACGGGGTGTGCCTCTGCGTGATGCAAAACGACGGAGGGCTGCCAAAAATGACGATGTTGTCAAATCCGAGACAAGTTCTAGGTGCACAGCTTTTGTCGCCATGCACACGAAAACTGACACGTAGCCCTTTGTTGTCTTAATACCTCGACCCTTATTTGCTTTAACATCCACGAACCCGGTGAAATCTACCCCGGTATGGTAGAAGGGTCGAGAGGGATTGGTTCTGGCTTCCGGTAACTCACCCATTATTTGCCGCTGTTTATTAGAGGAGTATTTTCTACAAGTGACACATTGGTGTAAGCGTTTTTTGACGGCTCTATTTCCTCCCAGTATCCAGTATTCCCTTCGGAGGTAGGAAAGTGTCAGTCTAGTCCCACCATGAAAAGTTACTTTGTGTGCGTGGTCTATAAGCAGGTCGGTGAGGCGACTAGAATGTGGGATTATAAGTGGATGTTTCATATCCTCGCTAATGTTCGCGTTTTCCAGTCGACCTCCAACTCTTAAAATTTGGTTTTTATCCAGATACGGGTTCAGGTTTATGATTTTACTGTTCGCTTTCACCTCTCCGCTCTTTTTTATGGTAAGTATGTCCTCTGAAAACTCACATTCTTGTACATATTTAATTACTTTTAATTTAATTGTATATAGTTCATCAGCTGTTAAATGTGCTTTCGTAAGTGATTTTTGGCTTATCGCGCGCATAACCCATGCAAGGACGCGCGTCACTCGCGTAATACTGCTGTATTTGCATAATAATTGTTCAATAATATTCATGTCGGACTGTTTTATTTGTATTGAGTTGCTTTGTGCTATATTTAACGTGTCTAAATTAGTGTCATATTTTTTATTTTCACGTTTTGAAATATATGACGGTAACCAAGATGGACCGTTCCACCAAAGGGTGTGATCTTTTAGTTGATTGACTGATAGGCCACGGCTCGCGCAATCAGCTGGGTTTTCTTCGGACCTGACATAACGCCAGCTATTGGAGGGTATAACCTCTGTGACCTTTTTGACCCTGTTACTCACGAACGT